ATTCTTGAAGTACCAAAATCAGTAATTTTAATACAACATGCAGATTCTGGATCAAAAGAATTAACTAAGAGATTATCAGGTTTAAGGTCAAGATGCATAATATTATTTTCATGTAAAAATTGCATTCCTCTAGCAGTGTCAAGTAATATTTTGATTTTTAATTTAAATGGGAATCTAATAAAATTTTCGTTATCTTTTCTTACATATTCACCTAATGATCCTAAAACAAAATATTGCATTACCATTGATATTTGTGGTAAGTATGTGACTGATCCCATATAATTTGCTATAAATGGATTTCTTAATTTACTCATTATTTCACATTCTGCGATTACTTCTTCTTTTAATTCTATTATTTCTTCTTCTGTTAAATTATCCCAATGAAATTCTTTTACAGCTACAGGAACACTACGATACTCTCCAATATATACTTTTCCCATTGCACCTTCTGCAATAGGAGTTTCTCTTATATTTAATTCATCATAGTCAAGGAAAGTTGATGATGAAGCATCAGTTGCAATAGTAAATTGATAATGAGTTCTTTTAATACAACCTATTTTAATAATTTTTTCAATTGTCATTTGGTCGTCTTGGTTCCATTCTTCAAAAGTTTTATTTTTTAATAACTCCGCTATCATTTGTAAACTTTTCTTACACTTAGAAAGCCAAATTGTATATGGAATTTTTATATTTTTTATTTTTGTTGTACAATGGAGAGTCATAAAAACTGTTATTTTCTTTGTAGAATTGGATGAAACGAATTTTACTTGAGGGTCAAAATAGAATACATACTTTGGGCTGTTTGGAGTATGAAAGATTACCATCAGCCATTTCTTTTTAGAATGGTTCTTAATTATAATGTTTTCAAACCTTGTATCAAAAATATTAGTTGAATTTGATGAATTTCCAAAATCGAGTTCAAGAGGTTCTAAGTAGTAATTATTTTCTTTAGAAGGACCAGTTTTATTTGATCCAGAGATGTAATAATAATAATTTGGTTGCTGTTGTTTATAGACTTCAATATTAACTTTTTTTGATTTAATGAAACTTGATAAAAAGATAAAGAGAAGAACAAAGAGTATTAAAACGATTACAGTTCCAATACTAATCAACGTAGCAACTAACTCCCAATTAACTCCTTTTTTGGTACAACTTAAGGGATCTTTTTTATTTTGTTCGTATCCATCAATACATTCACAAAATTGATTACAATTGGTTCCACCATCACACTGTTCTCTTCTTTTCCCATGAATACCATCAATTATTGTATCAATTTTCTTATTCCCACAACTTTTTGGAATACAACGAGAACTTCCTTTCAATGGAATAAATCCATTTAGACAGGAACATGTTTGAGAACACCCTTCCTTTTCTCTTAAACATTCAATGTTAGAACTTAATACATTATTATAACAGTCTTCATGAAGACAATAATGATTAACTAAATAATACCCTCTTTTACAAGTACAATTATCCTCACAATTTGGTGAACCATATTTACATAAATTTACAAAATCATTAACTTGCCAATACCCATTATGATAGCATTTTAAATGACAATCAATTCCACTATACCCATCATTACAAATACAATTCTGTTTTATTGTTGAACAATTACCATGACCTTTATCATTATTACAATTATCAAAACAAATTGGTTTAAACGTAACAGGGATATCAATATCTAATTCATTTGTAAGTAATCCAAAATACCTTTTAGTTAAAACAGGAGTTCCTTCTATCCTTAAGTTTAGTCTATGTGAATTTCTAGTTTTTTTTGAAAGTCTATATTGAGTCCCACGCCATAACTTTTTACATTGTGCTATATTTGAAGCGTTTATTGTATATTCTTGAAGGTATCTAATTCTATTTTCTTCTGCTGTACTAATATGTATAGAAAAATTTCCAGAATACTCAATACTAAATCGTATAATTTTAATCATTGTTGTTGGAATACAAGCAGGATATGTATATCTTCCTTCATTTCTCATATGAAAAATATGTCTATAAGGTGTATTTGTTTTAACCATTCTATCAATATCTTTTTGAGTTAATTCAAAAGACATCACCTGTTCTTCTCCTGCTAACTCTTGTATGGCAATTGAAATACTAGCAGATGCATTATCTTCTACAAAAGCAAAAATATATAATTTTGACATTTCTTGAGTATCAAATTCAAGAGGGATTTGCATTACTCCAGTAATTTTATCTGTTGTTAATAAAAATCTTGTTAAACATTGTGGGTTCTTATCTGTAGGTAGTGATGAAGTAGTATCAATGTAAACTGGTGATTTGTTATTCTGGTCTGTATATTCCAAAACAATATTAATATTATTTGTAAGATTTTTGAGTTTTGATAAATCAACAACAAACCAATGAGATTTCTTAAAAGATGAAGTTCCAATACCATTATAACAAGGTCCTTGGTCATATGGTGTAGAACTATCAAACGTTACAATCACTGGAACAGAGGAATTAATTTCTTTAATATTTGTACTAGGAAGCCAATGAGTTTTATTAATTGTATTTTTAATGAGTGAACACCGACCATCTATTAAGATATATAAAGGGTTATTTGAGTTAATTTCAGAGTATGGATTGACATGTTTACATGTAAGACAAGAAGTATCATA